TCTCTCCCGTTAGAATAGGTACAGGTGTACTGTCGTGATTCAAGGACGCAACACAGCGCTCATCTTGACAATGGAATTTATTCGAAAAGCAATCGGTATTTCAGGTTGGACCAAATTGGCAAGTAGAATTCATGTTAACGTTTTACTAGCAATCTTAACTATACGCGGTCAGCGCCCCAGTTTAGGAGATACTTGCCACTATTTCAACAAACCAATCAATATTAGTCCGTTAGCCATCGTTCCCGGCAGGGAAGGAACGGGGAGGGGGAATGGCTATCAAATGGTAGTGGTGACATCATCTGATGTCTGGATTATCACATGGTTCGCTGCTATCCGTTTTGCATGGACGTTTTATCGATTCGGAGAACTGGTTCATCATTAGCTGAAAACATTCAGGTTTTAATTGCAATACTGTGGCCTAATATTTGTCGAGGGCTTGACGGACTCCACAGTTGCAGCGAATGAGATGTACAAAGTGCAAAAGGATAGAAAGGCTTGCAATTTTCGTTTTTGAATAAAAATCAACTGGATCGGAAACAAGGTTTAGCTGCTATTTGTTCAATTTGAGCTGATATTTTCCAAAACAAACTGGCCACCTATTTCGGAAAACGCCCAGACCAAAATCTATCTGAAATCGAATTCTTTACATAACTCTGGTTTTACTCATGAGTACGTTGTTGTTGTTGTTTACACATTTCTAATCAATAACCAAAGAAATTGGCAACCTACTTGGTACGTTTTTAACTCAGTTGAACATTCTTTCAAAGTCGGTTTCTCAAGAGTGAAGATGAATGAGTCGCTTGTTCTGTGACAGTCACTTGAGCTCGGAGATTTTGCTCGGTGTGAAACGTGAAAGTGGTCAGAAGGAAAAACAGTTATCAGAGAAAATGTGAAAGATGAATAGCAGATAGGCTACGTTGTTTGTTTACGGTATAGAGTGAAGGTGGGTTGATTGGGAAATAGACAACTGTTGCCAGGTAGCGTGCATACCGATCAAATCGACCTATGGAGGCCATCGAATGGTACAAGAGTTTATTCTGTTATCAGAAGGCCATCACATTTCTCATCTAAAATGCATTCTAAGAGCACGGCTTACGATCTGTGATCAACAAGACAATTGTTTATCTGATTTTCATCATTACTATGCGTTCCCGAATTAGATAAAGGAAATTATTGCGGTAAAAATTCAAAGTTTTTAAGTATTTCACGGTGGATTATGTGGATAACCATTTGGGAGAAACCTCCTAATGTATGCGGTGAGTTTGAGTTTGAGTTTTATGGAAAAAACATATTCTGCACGCGTTTATTCAGTGGATTGCAATAATTTTGATAACGTGTCAAATGCTGCCTGCAGACGATGTGCAAGTAATATAATTTCATCCTGCTCCCCTCCTTGACACCTTCAAACTCATTGGAACTGATCACTGAATATGATCATCATCATTCAACTGGGGATCGTGCTTGAACGTCGTCAGTCGAATTCCCTTTTGTTTTCTTCATAACTGTACTTACAGTAAAAGAGGATGTGCAATGCACAGCTGTTTACTTCCCCCACTCTGTCCCATTCCATATAGATTTTATAAATCAGTTAGATTTGAGATTAGATATTAGGGGCTTTATAAGGGGATCGTTTTTGTTGTATGCATCACTTGCCTCCTACTACTCATCCCTGTCCTCTCAATGCTCTTAATGTTTGAAGGCTGTTGTCTTACAAGTGCATCCACTAACTTAGTTTGATTTATCACTTCTCAAATTCATAGCCGTTAAAAGAAAATGCCTATTGTTTATCGGTGTTGCAAATTTCAACTAATTCGGTGATGTTATATCAGACATGCAAATTACCAGAATGATTGAAAAAACAGTGAGGTGACAATGGCAACTGCACAATTATTTAACTATACCTCTTTCAGTTTAAGATGTCCCAATTTCAATTTAAGATGTTATGTTTCTATGTGGATAGTATCTTGCACAGTACAAGGTAAAAATGTTCGATGGGACCCCTGTTTACACAGATTTATGTGCGTCTTACCTGCATACTGATCTATGGCCCCCGGAAAATTTGCACCGACGATGGTCTTGTCTGCTTGTTTGCACACACACGGATTGGACAATGCGACCCACGATTCAGTCAGAGCTATATCATCATGTGAAAACCGACGAAGGCTTGGTTGAATACGAAACAAAAAGGAGCGCTTTTGGGGTTTGATTGGGTCTCTCACACGATAACCACATTTCTCATTTTACCCAGCAAACAAGTAATTGACTAAACAGTGCTCACCACAAACGTTCATGGTCTCATGAATGAAGTGTTTTCGGCACCAAAGGGGTGGTAGCGGACGACGTGAAATGGGAGTTGAACGTTTGCAATCGTCGGTGAGTATTTTTGTTGAGCGTGGGACCATATTTTCGGGGGCCATAGATCAATATGCAGGTAGGACGCACATGGATATGAGTAAACGGGGATACCATCGAACGTTTTCACTCTGTACTGTGCAAGGTACTATACACATAGCAACATTACATCCTTAATTAATATTCGGATATTCTAAATTCCTATTGTGACATCTTAAACTGAAAAAGGTATAGGTTTGTATCCCAGAATTCCACACATTATATATATATATATATTCGATAAACATTATTAGGTAATTCATCAGTGGAAGTTATAATTTTTTTGGAGTGATAGTACTCGGCGAAAGTGTAAAAATCTGATGAAGATCAAGATGGTGTCCGTAAATGTTTGACAGGCAGCAACCTGTTAAGATCATCAACGTATTGACCGGAGGACGTGGGTTCGAATACCGACAACCGCTCTCCCAACCCATTTGTACATCCCGATGTATGTCCCCAGGCAGCACCGGGAAGGCTGCAGTTCACCTCTGCACGTTTCTGTATTCCATAACATTAATGGAAATATTGTTATCAAATAGCATTTCATTATGATATACAGTACTGGCCGGTTGTGATGAACTAGAGTATTTCCTTTCTGATCAAATGGAGTTTCATTATATTTATCACTTGTACTAATGCTTTAGGTATGAACAATAATTTATCTCTTGTCTACTTCGATCTACGTAGTTTCTAGGCTACATGACTATCAGTTAAACGTGCCTGACCTTGATTACCAAGATTAAATAATCTCAACTTGGAAATCGCAAACTTTATCAAGTATGAAAATGCAATATGTTCTAAAAGGAGTGAGTGAAGAATCATCTCAAATTATTTCCATAAACCCTTGCCATCTCGGTTGTTTGTTATGAGGCATTATTTTACCCTATATATATAATTCATTATAGCAACTCTATTGAATAACAAAATGAAATTCTTTCACAACCCGGAAAATTGCAATAAATAAGGTTTCGTAAAAATGATCTGTTTCATATTTCCAGAATATCATGGAAAAAATGGTCTGGAAAGTTTATCATTTTCAGGATAACCCTCCGTGGCATGTTTCACGGAGGTTAGTTAATTTATTTAGTTAGGGAGACTGGTTCACTCATTATTTGCTTTTAGACTTGAGAAAAGATGCGTGACTCTAAGGTCCAGTTCATGCAACTTCCTCCTAACAGACCGGATTTCAATGTGATTGAAAATCTGTTTTCTGTTTTGCAAAGAGAGGTCAATGTGCTACCAATACATTGGAGGCAACAGTGCGACATGTAATGGAGCACAAGATAGAAAATGACTTCATAACAAAGTTGATAGATTCGATACCGAAGAGCCTCGAAAACGTCCTAAAGGACAATAGCAGATTAATCGACTATTATTGTGCACAAACGTTACATCATATGTTAATTTGTTGTAAATAAAAATTGTTTCATTCTCTTTAGTTAGCTCTTAACTCATTATGGTCTAGGTAAACCCTTACTGACGAAATGGGAGTATCCGATACATTCTGAAACATTCCAACTGCGGAGTATAAACGAATCAGGAAAAGCAATGCTATCAAGACTCGCCAAGGCTTGTTTATCATTATTTGGAAAAAATATACTTCTGTATAAAACCTGTTGCCTATACGAACCGACAAGTGATCCACAGGGACCCTTTGCTTCAGTTTCGATTACATCTGTATATGTATAGTTTCCCCGACATGAAAGGGCTCGCACATATTTGTGAATAACAATAAACCATGTGTAGGACAATTCCTCGTTTCTCACCTCTCGTCAGGCTGATTTCAATGTAATCATATTAATTCAGATCTCGATGTTGCTACATCTGATATAGTTTCTGCTTTACTGGCACGCATGTACAACAAATGAATAGCCTTACGCTGGATGAAACACCAAATCTCGTCAAAATGGTGATCATGAAGCAAACGAATTAACTGTGGCGGGTTTGCTTTTCCACCACTGTGTCCGATTCATTACACATACACAGGGATTTCAATTCATGTGGCTTAAATGCTCCGGTATCTTCAATCACAGGCATGTAGAACTGATGTCCGCTAAGCGTATTCATTTACTGATTGAAATAAACTCTCATGACACCTAGACACGTTTTGTCGAGCACAGCTGGGCATAAATATATCCTTCCAATGGATTTGGACCACAGAGTCTGTCTGTATGCAATTGGAGGTCAGTACAGCACTATGACTCGGGCCTCAAATGATTCCGAAGCCCTTGTCTTCTTTTCGGAGCAACTGATTTATATTGATCTTCAGTCTACTGCTCTGCACTAAATAGTGAGTACTCACATGAGTGAGTGTCCATGGTGAGCCAAGTTGTACACGCCGCGTCATAAATACATCACATTTGACTGAGTTGAAATCGAAGTAAGCGAAGTATGAAAGTTTGCATTGATGTACGTATCCGCACCCTCAACCTCCAACTTTTCCTACACAACGATTTTATTCTCTAAAACAAAAGAGAGGTTTGCATGTTTGAGACAAACCACAAAATTATTCCCGTTTCTGACAAATTAACCGGAACGGATTCGATACGGATGCTGTCAAGTCCCCTCCCGACCGCCCTTTGCCCCAAATGTCCAAGTACACAGCTTACCTTGAATACAAATGTTTCATTAAATACCGGGTTGAGAATTTTTCGATGAACCTTGGTCTCGAATTTCTTCTTCTTATCCGGTAGTAGGAACAACTTCACATACGGATCCGAGGTGCCACACATGTCCATCGCAGGCAAATCGGCCGCTTCAAGCACACCAACAGTGAGCTGGGAAAAAGAAGCGAACAGATGATGGTCGAGTGTGAGTGCGTAGAAAAGTTGGAACTAAAAGATGTTTAGTGTGTGCGAAGAAGAAGAACAGGGAAAAGAGAAGCGATTCGTCCTCTCACTCTCTCGTTCTCTCTCTCCTGACAACAGTAATCCGAAAACGGGGCGTAGCACCAGTCCGAAGCAAATGCAGGTGAAGAAAGCAAACGGAACAGACGCAAACCATCTACGAATTGTGGAGCGAAGGTTTTATCAAATAACTAATTATCACATCTAATTTCATATTGACTGTTTGGGGCGAGATAGCAGAATTTGGTAACTGTCGAAAAAAAGAATCGAAATCAATTGTTTCTTGAAGTAGCAGTTAAAAAATTGTCTTGGTCTCTAATATTGGAAGGAGCTAGACTATACTTTAGTAAAAGACGTCTGCAATATTAGAAAAACACTCAAAGTATATACATCTGAATGCATGATAAAAAAATAACACAGTATTATAAAGTCGTCTGTACCTTTCGATTCCCGCTAATATCTCTGAAAGAGAAACTTATTAGCTGGGTACTGTGGCAATCTCTATTCGTTCTGGTCACACTATAACCGCCCTTGATATAAGTGCGTCGGACGAGACGAGAAGAAACCTCAAACAGACAGGCTTAGTTCACGATGTTGTTTTATGGCTGTTTAACTAGAAAAGATAAGGAATTCGCTGGGCGACTTCTGTAAGGGAACCGTATCGACTGAAGATGTTGTTTACAAAGTCGGTGCTGCACACGATCAGTGATACAAATTGCACCGGACTGTTTTATCAAAACATCCTCTTATCACGACATACGAACAATACACCGAAGTGGATATGTCTCGGTGAGTAAAAACACCAATTGGGACAGAGTACTTAGGCTAATGAATGCTAAATGAGAGTAACATCGATAGTGACAATGAGAGTAGAGGAAGGAGGCGGGAACCAGGACTCATCTGTTCGGTTACCTTTCCAAGTGTTTAACTGTAGGAAAGCCAATAAGTTGGCCATAGAGAGAGGAAAGCATTCTAGGTAGCCTGTTTCTATAGCATAAGCTCAGATTCCTGGATTACGATCAACCTTATCTGTGCTTCCCCTGAAATTAAATTTTCTATAAATCCAGTTCAACCTATCTCTTTGGCACTGTTTCCAATGAATCATCAGATGACATGGATTGATTTCAGTTAAATATTGATCAACCACATCAGATTCAGAATAATGTTTTCAACTAATAGAGTTTTGACGTTTTCCGCTGCTCCTGCCGTACATGCATACATAGGTGGGGAATGTTCTGTAGGATTGGAGAACATTCCGTGCCAAACATCTCGAGGTACCTTGGAGAGATAGCACATATTGGAAGCATGTCACAAAAACATGTGTATGTGATGTTAAGAGGCTGGAGTTTTTAATCTGTACCATAATCTAGTCATTCATGACTGATCGCCCGATTACAAACACTATAAAGCTCGAGTGTGACTAATTATAGGTCATCAGAATTACATCAACTTCTAGTCAAAACCTTTTCCGGTCTAACTTCATCCTCATCCTTTCTGGGGCCATTTTCTAATGCTATTGTGATTCCATTGTTGTTTCCTTCCCTTTGGGGACACCTTAACGCACAAACCAAGGAACACATTTTGGGATCCGCGATGAGAGTCGAAAACAAGGTTTTTAAGCTTAACAGTTGATTGTAGATCAGAATTTTCTTACTGCTATATTTTGTGCGATCAATTTACAAAGAAATGAGATCAAGTTTTGCCAGATGTTCTCTTGTTTGACGATGGAATTGTTCTCACACCTTGTCAGTTTATTTATAAAAAGAAATGAATCCATTTACCGGACAGAATTTCCTGTCAAACTTCCGACACCTTATTAAATTACCCTAACCGAGTGTCAATTCAATACCCTTGCAATTTCTAAAACAAATCATGTGCAAATAGTCGTGGAATTTGGCAAATTGGGAAATTGAATTTTGGCTTAAAACTGGTGAACTAGACGAGTCCAGGTTCAATAGCACAACTGTGGAAACATCGCGTTTCCTCCCGATACACCCAGCTAGCTCGAGTTTGACAAAATTGAAAGCACTTTACTTGATCATTGACCGAAATCTCGAGCATAAATGTTTAAGAGTATCCACAGAGAATCTAACTTTCCAGTTCGTCAGTACCCGATAGAATAATATTGTGCACCTCGTTTGTTATAAAATTAAAGACAGAAGGCCTGATTTCTTTAACTGAAACCGCATATTTTGCAGTCAATTTTGAACATTGAAGATTATGAACATGTGTCTAGAGTGAGCATGTGATGAGTAACCCTTCGATTAAGAGGGATCTCTTTGTAGAGATTTCTCAATTAAACAGCATTTGAATGCATTACCTCGTGGGGAACTAACGATCCTCTCTAGGAGTGAAACCCACACCCAAGACCATGAAGAGTGCCTGGTGTCTATCGAATGGGCGAATCCAAGCGTGATACTCTAAATCAAAGAGACTGTTGATTGACAAAAAACAGAAATAATATAGAATAGGTGTGGTTTTAATAGCAGTTCATTATCCATACAATTTTCCTCTTTCTTTATAAAACATTATTTCATATTAGATGAGAAATTCATCTTTTAAATGAGGCAGGAGCTGGATAGCTGGGAAGTAGCTGGGACAACTGTTTCGACCTGGTTCCGTGTCATTAGCAGTGCGAATTTATCCGCATTTTTCATCTAAAACAAGTTCAATTCCTCCGTTGAACCAGTACTTATTTAAATTCCACTTGGTCAAAATTGCGTTAGTCTTGTGCAACTACTGTGTTGATTATTCATTTTCACTCATTATAGTAAACACAGCATATAAAAGGGTCGTTTTCGGTGGTTTACCCACCAGTTAAAACATCGTTATGCAGATCATGACAGCTGGAGGGGTAAAAATTCATCACAACTGCAGAAATAATAATGTAGCTCTGTTCAGGGTGATGAGTCCCTGGTTACACTTCGATCATCACATAGACACATTGGTTTGTGACGTCACAGGATGATGGCCATCGGACATTTTTATTTTACGAACTATCTTGGAGAGTAAAGTTTTTGTATCGGCAGAGGGGTTTGTTTGGTAGGTGGAGTTCTATGGCTTACTCTGTAGCCAAGATGCAACTCCTATTACCTGTAGATCGTCGGCAGTGAATTAAATGGTGGTGTCGACTCTACTATTTTATGCTGTCCACGTGGTCTGACTCCATCAGATATGAAGCAATCAAATTGTAGTTGGACTAATTCACTCTACTAATTGCAAATGCTAAGTGAAGTCTGCGGACTCCTTCAGATAAACGCCGGGAGTACATCAAGTAAAGCTTGTCCAACGAGAACAGGAATAGCATATAGAAACGGAATAAAGAAAGAGGCAATTTATCGGTTAGGTGAAAACACGAGAGTTACCTGGAACAGACCGCGATGCGAATCTTTTTCTCGTTCCCTTGATATATACAATCAGTTCTTTCCCTCTACCATCTGAAGAAATCACTGAAAACCAGCCTGTTCACCTTGATGCATTTCTTACCACACTCCATTTTAGTGAGTGATTTATTTTAGTTGTGCTTTTCAAGATTAATTTGATAACATTGTGGACTATTCGAAATGTTCGAACTCAAATGTGTGTGCTTGATTCGACCCGAAAAAAATTGTACCATAATTCCACATTTAAACCACTGGTTACAAACTACAAACTTGGAATCCCCCGAGGCCTGTTTGGTGCTTCCCGTCACGACAAAGAATGTGTCACTCATTGCCTTTTTTTCTATTTCTTTCTTTTCTTCTTTAACTTACAGAATGATACAATTTTCAGGTGACCTTGGGTTGGACCAGACCAATGACACACAAAGATTAGTGAAACCTAACTGGCCACTTCCAGTTCACAAACACGCACACATGTTCGGAATCAAAGACCGAGGACTTACTTCGCCTTTTTGGAAATCATAGTCCAACGAAAACCGAAGTTTACCGGCATAGACTTTCTCTTTTTCTGCTTCACCGGATTGCTGATTCTCGTTATCCTCCATGTCTGATTTCAGAGCCACAGTGTCCTGTATTCATTTAAGTAATAAAAAATTGATTCTATTAATGGGGAAAAAATGATCCGGCTGGGATGTTGTTATGTGACTAACTATCGGGAAGATATCAGAATAAGGGCACGGTCAGTTCACAGAGTACGAATTCCATAATGCGTTGATGATTATTTTCCTCGGGAGTATGACATCATTCGCGAAAAATGTTCTACAGAAAACGGAACCCAGTCAAGTTGGGTCAGGTAAATAACAGATTGCAGGTTCTTCGATATCAGTGGAATGTGGGTCAGGCCAAAAGTGACGGTTCTACAATTACGTTTCCAGCTCATTCGGTATGCCCCCGACGAAACAATATCATAAAACAAGAAAGATTCTGTGTAATTCAGATGCTTGCATGCTTGCATTACACACAGAATCTAACTACGGACTAATGCAATCTTGGGCTACCAGGAGCACAAAATCCTGCAGAGGGAAGCTAAACACTCAATTTGTGCGCTGTTGGAATAGAGTCATTGAAGGCTGTAGTAACTAAAGGTCATTGGATCTCAGTTCGTAGCGCGTAAAGTGGTTGTTTATACCTTTGACAGATATATATATATATATATATATACAGAAGTGTGAGGACACTTGCTACGGAACGTGCAGTGACTCAAACAATGAAGTGGAGATTCTGTTTCGTCCTTGCCGGTGCTCATCAGCAATGCCTTTCTGTTGTCTGCGTAGGAAGTCGAATCTAAAATTATCGAGTTTTGAGCGGAGTTCTTGCTCGATTGTCAACCGTTTGGTCCAATGTCTATGTTAGATTTTGAAAATTTGCAATGTAGCATATCAAGTCCTACAAGAGGAAGCTTCAGGTTGAAACACAAGTGTCCATACTCAAAACACACAGATTCTTACAAGGAACACGAATTTTGAATTAAAAATAAATTACAAAGAAGTAAATATTTAATACTGTAAATCAATTTGGTTCCTCAAGATGCAGTTTCGTGACAAAGTTTCCTCATCAATAAATTCCCGAAACCTTAATATATGTCCGCACAAAAAAATGATACCACCAGAATACCTTAATCAAGCGTCTTTGAATATCCTGCACTTGCCACCATTTACAGACGATTATTGAGATTTGGTTATTGATTGTAAACTCTCATTTCATTATTTAGTTTTCAAATTCAAACTGGCCACAAACAATTGAGAAGGAAAAATAGATTTGCAATTATCTGCAAAATAAATTCTGTGGTGGTCTGTTTAGTAACACAAAATAGAGGAAACAACATTCAAGGTCATTTGATGAAAATCGGTGGCTAAGACCAAATCACAATCTGACCAGTTCATTACAAGCGCGTTTCAAATAACAGCAAACAGATTGAGCGAACGATAATATTTACAAACCAGTTGGGGCTTCCATCAGTATGATTTTATCGTTTTCAAACTGGTTTTCCAGTTTCTTGGCCTTCTGGTTTCGCTCAGTTTACTCTCATCCGGTCGAACCACTTTGGTCCACGTGATTGTATATCCTTGCCATTATTAATCGCACTATCAGCTGGCTGATCGAGGACACTCATGATGGATCAATTTTTATTCATGTGATCAATCCTCGCACCGCGCCTATAGTCGATCCTAATTTTTGACACTGTTTTCTGTTCTTTTTACAGTTTCAGGACAGAACAAAAACTGGATTGACACACAGTCACACTCCAAGGCTTGTAAGAATAAGGAGATGTGTACGCGCGTCATTGTTTGCCTGTCCCGGAATTTGTTGTTTGGTTATATCGCTTTTTTTGTAGGAAAGCTTATTAATTGATTCTATTCATATAACAATGATGATGCCAAGCTCGATGTGAAAAGGAGGAATGCAAATCAGTTCACCCGAACTACGAGAACCGATCCTAAATACTTTGTCAACATATGAGGTAAAAAGCACAATACTTTTTACCATTAATGTGCTAAAAATGAACATTGGAATCTTCTCTACACTAGTTCGGATTTAATAAATTGAAAACTTCAATTTAAAAATAGTACACATACATAACGGTCTAAATTCGATAATGTTTAGAAAGTCTTAGAAACGTACAAAAAATATACTTGTCTCCCAACTCCTGCTGAAAGAGGACGCACTTTTCGGTGTGTGTATACAGCAATTTGATGGGTATTTTCAATATGTGATATAGGATATTATTAACTATAGCAAGTCCACACATTTAAACTGGAAGACAGTGAGAATTACGGCAAACACGTAATTGGTTATGGACATCGGTGACCAGAGTCATTGTATTTGAATTCTGAAACAGCATAAAACTCGATGATCTGAACCAAATACTTTTAGCAACGCAAATACAAGGGTATCCATCACGTGCGGATTTGAACCCCAGACAAGTGTCTGCTTGTACCAGTGCATTTAACCGTTTTAGAATGGTAATAATCAATGATTTTTGGCGCTCCAAGCAAACAAGGATAAGGCATCTTCTGAGAATCCCTTGCGTCTCATGGAGACTAAACGCTTTATCTAAGTATTTTTCTTCATTTAGTCACATTCATCATACAGCGAAATACATGGAAGCGAACTTCACTCATCGCTGGCAAACTCGCAATGCATATTCACTGAATGTTTGATGAACGGGTACTGCTAGGGTGTCTAGCCACTAGGCAGGAGAACGACTGGGGTTCTCAACCGAAGCCTTTAGTCTTGACAAGAACCTAGCCGCAAGGCAGTGGGTGAAGCGAAGTGGAGGCCCATTTACTTGGATCAGTTGCTCCTCTACCATTTTACCGACTGAGACGCAAGTTCTAGTCGAACCCCCAATTTTTAGGACCAGGAGACTGGACTTCGTCTGACCTCTACCCTTCGACCATCCAGGCAAGATTAGATTTCCAGCTTAACAAAAGCCATCGTGCGTATCTCGTTGGGTCACATAGTTGCACAAGCCATCACACCACGTCAAGGTGCAGTCTCGTCGTGAGGGTCAGTCACATCTGTAACAACCAATTTTTCATCAGTGCACAATACGGTCCTTTCAAAATTGTTCCCTTAAACTCGTTACAATGTCGAAAATTTTCCTCCTTTGCTCTAGCTCATCCTCATTTTGCATGTGCGATTGTTTTATGCGTCCCTACTACGGTATAATAGTAATTATAACACTTACCGATGTCTACCCACATCGTTGACGCGCCAATGGAGTGACCATTCAAAAGTACACCCTTATTGTCAGCAAACGAGTACATGCCCGGAGAGAATGCGCTTTTTTGCAAAATTGAAAAGCTGTAAATGCCGACACCTATTGTATCAAATATAATGTTCACCAAAGAGATGGTTAGGTGAAACAAACCGTTTAGGAGAGAGAAACAAAACATAAACAAACCGGAGACTACAGCTTTTCTCATCAAGC